AGGACATACACGAGAAAAATTGTAATCAACGGCGATTTGAATGTTACTTGTGCAAATATGCTACATTAATGAAATCAAGCTTGGTTATACATATGCGTCTTCACACCGGAGATAAACCATTTCGTTGCTCTCATTGCTTAAAACGATTCATCACAAAAGCTAATTTAAATCGACATCAAAAATGTCATCACAACAAAACCAAATGATTTTTTAACAAATCGAACGTTTTCCTTTGTTGTTATTTAAATTTAAATCATGTGAATATATCGCGCATTCAGAAATGCAATTCTTTGTTTATTTATTCGAATTGAAAAGTCATTACATGTAATCATGTTGTATTTTATGTTTCATTTCAATTGAATACTTCCATGTTCCTTATGTTCAACACAAATAAATAGAGAATTACTCATTTCAAAGAAATTTATTGTAAAGAAAAGGACAAACTCTTTCGAAGAATAAAACGAAGCTACAACTCGAACTCATTTGTGTTTCTTATATCAATGAAGGATAGCAATTCCAATCAAAATCTTAATTTAAGTGGTCAAAAAGGCCCATTTCGATTGCATAGAATACAATACCAGTGTCATTGTATGATCGTATCACTGTGAATTTGTGCAAATTTTCCGATATTTTCAGGGGCAGAATGCTGTAGCTCAACTACTGGATAAACATAAAAAACGAAGAGAAAGCTGAAACTGCTCAAAATTGACTATCACCGCAACGGAATATCAAAAAATGTAACAAACGGGAGAATTACTCTTTCTACCTATTTCTGAGCCCAGTCACAGAAGGCGCAAATGAATTTGAATATGAAAAGACAAAAACAGCTCTTGGTACAATACTATTTGTTTCAGTAAGGTATCAGTTTATTATTTATTTCCGAGACGATGACACCATAAGTAAATGTAGGTGATTAATAATCACTGATTATGTAAGCTCATGCCAAATAAGGTTGAATTTTGCAATTGTTATCTTGCAGAATGCGTGATTTTTCACATTTTTGTCTGTTTGGAAAAAAATAGTTGGCTATATTTCCATATTTACATCTATCAATTCATCTGTTAAGATCAAAAAATTGAATAATCCAAACAGAACAATATATTGATATTGGTTCGTTTCGCCAGACAGACATATCTGCATATTACTGTTTTGAAAAACAAATTTATGTCGCATTATAATAATAATAATACAGAATAACAAATTCTAATAAAGAATGACTGTGAAATTATAAAAGTTTTTTGTGCCATTTTTATATGACATGCTCCACTCGCATTTATTCTACATTTGTGAACAGCTTTTATTGGGCTGAAGCTTTGCATGTTAATTAGATACGAGTGGAGAAATGGTATAAAGCGTTGAGTTATTCAAAGAATAAAGTAATGTAAATGATAGTTCTTCGAAAAATCATATATAAATGAAGATCGTATCAAAGAAATCTTTATGTAACCATCATTCTTTCAAGCGCCAAAAAATTTGAATTTAATCGCTTCCGTTTGGCAAATAGATGTTTCATAAAACTTTTAACTTGATCGCCATTAGCCATTTGGTAAGTTTAGTTTGAACATATATCTAATTTAATTTGTCAAGTCCGTTTTCTACAGAAAACGATTAATATTAATCGGCTGCGCGCTTTATTTTTCTTACTCTAATTAATAGAGACATTAATTCTACAGATTGTGTCAAATGTTGAGAGTGGTCTTATTGTGTCCACACTTGACAAAGAAGTCTCTAGACCGGCGTCAGTTCAATCTGGAAAATTATCAATAGATTTGGTCGACCCAGAGCTTGGTGTGATTCAAGATTGACAATGTACAAAAGAGAATTTCGCACTTCGAAAACAAGCCGCTAGAAAAATCAGGGGCCATAACTTCATCGTCAAAAGTAACATCGACAAAAATATCCAATCATTCCGTCCAAGATGTATTTACTGATATTGAATCCAAATCAAAAGGGCCACAATTTAAAGAGATATCCAAGAAAACTGAACACAAATAGATTGACGTTACCGGACGTTACCAATGGACACATATTTTTTGATGAAAAAAATTCCGTCTTCCATTTAAACTGAAAATACATTTGTTCGACATAAAACAGATTTTTTTTTATTATTTTATGATTCATTTTAAATAACTCGAAAGCGGACTAAAAACATATTTTTTCCTGTTTTTACCTTTTTAGTCCAGTTTTAGTATTTATTTTGGAATTTTTATCGTTTTCTTCAATCTTCCATGAAAGTCTAAATTCATGGTCTTTTTTAGATAATTTGATCGATTGCATGTGTAAGCAAAACTCTTAAATCAGTTTAAATCCTCTAACTGAAATGGTATTAAAGAAGCCAATCAGAATCGATTCATTATAATTCATTCGTTTCGATTAAAAAACGAACATAAAATAATAATTGTTTGGCGTTGGTCGGATTTTGCATGGGTTTGGAAATGAGTCAACACAAAAACACATTTTTTTTGTGTTGCTTTGACTGCGTCTGATGTTATAATTTAAAATAAGTTTATTATAACCCATTGCGTTTGACGTGGTTTGACGTAATAAATTAAAAGAATTTATATTGTATCGTATTAGTGGTTTTCGAGAAAGTCGTATATAAAGAAGAACGTGTTGATGAAAGTGTTAAGCAAGCAAATATTGTACAAATAAACACTCTCTTCAACTTTACGCCAAATAATGATTCATCACAAAATCTTCATTTTTATGGTTATTGGGTTGGCTGTGACTCAAGTAAGTTCAACTAATTCAAAAAAAAGTTGAATTTAAGTTTAGTTCAAGTGTTTTTTCGTTGAAGAAGAGTGAAATTGAGATTATCGGTGTTTACATATAATCATATTTATTCGGTTTGTTTTCTCTTCACAGTTCAGTGGAAATGTTCAGGCTGGTGGTAAAGAGTCTAAAGAAGGCAACAAAGATTCTCCGTCGGTGTCAAGAGAATCTTCCGTGAAACCACCTGAGAGTTCATTTGATCCAGAGATAGGGGAAATTCTGGAGACATTTGAAGTACCAGAGTCTGTTGGGTCAGTTCCGTCATCACCGAAAGTTTCTTCTCCAGAGTCTTTCTCCGCACCGCCTTTATTACTTCCTTCAGATCCAGTTGCGTCAGTTCCGTCTTCACCAAAACTTCTTTCACCAACGCCTTTGTCCCCAGTGACTCCCTCTTCTGAAGCCACATTACCAGATTTAACATTACCTGCGGTATCAGATGTACGTGAACCACCAATCTCACCAAAGGGAGCACATACTGGTAGTGTTCAAAACAGAATTTCACAAATTGAATCTAAGGTAGTACGACCAGCACCTGGTAGTGTAAAAGATAAAATTTCACGCATTGAGGCTAAATCGAAGGTACCGAAACGTCAACGTCCGCTGAAGAAAGGAGGAAAAAAATAGATTCAACACGCAAATTAAATCAAATTGACGCAAAAAATGCCAAAAAAATGGAAATCTCACTATTATCTCTTTTAAACCTGTTTCGATTTAATTTATTCATTTAAATCATCAGTCATTTTATGATACAAAAAATCGAAATAAACATATTCATATTATAAATGTTCGTTTCCTTTTTATGCCAACTAGTCTTTGTGGAAAACTGAAAAGTTAAAAATCTGCTTTTTTGATTGTTTTCCAAAGAATTTGTTTAACTTGAAATGAAAAAAAGTATGACATGTTTCGTCATATTTCGCATGTTGTTGATTTGTTTTTTCCACTTTGAAATGTAATAAATTTCTGTATAAACAGAAATATTTTGACTTTAAGTGCGTCAATCATTTTATAAAGTGTTTTTCGCCTTCAGGCACCTTTCGTGTATGTTTGTTTATACATATTCATATTTTTCCACGAATACAATTTCGGTTGAAATTTAAATGATGAAAGATTCTTTATCTCGAAAAAAATTTGAATTGGATCAATATTATTCATAATTTTTTTTTTCTCATATGTCAGTTTGCGCAATAGTTTTATTTGTATGTTCTGGAATTCCAAATTTCAACGACATTTATTAAATATATTTTGACAATTTTAATACATATTTGTACGTTGACTTTATTTTCAAAATCTTATAAAGAAGTAACATGAGCAAGTCTAACATTAAGCAACATTTGAAACACTTGGAAAGACATTATTCGTTTTTGCTATTTGAAGATAGATTCGCTCGCGTAGAAAATGTTTAATAACAAAATGTTTGTCGTATTGTTGATTGGGTTCATCATTTTTGAGGTAAACAAATACGCCATATAAACACGTATGTGTGCTATTTATTACATTATATATGGTACGTAGGCTGCTCCATATATTTCTAGAAAAGCATATACAACGCAATCGTTTTTTTATCAAAAATGGCTTTATTGTTTTTCAAAGTATTCGCCATGATGGTCGATACACTTTTGCAGCAGCCCTCGTACAATTTTTTGCTAAAAAGTGGGCGATTTCCGATCGTTTCTGAAGTATATCAATTAATTTCTATTTTTCTAGTTCATTGCAAATAGCGCGGGTACACCAATTTCTGGAGAATCTTCTGGTTCATGTGAAGACTCTGGTGAAGTGTCATCAAGAACTAAGAAAAAAGATGAATCTTCGCCAAAGAAGACTTATGAATCACAAACCTCACGCATCGACCCTAAAGCAGTGCCAACGCATAAACTTCCACCTAAAAAAAGATATACAAAGTCCGAAAATTGAATTTTCTTAAAACACTATTTTCAATACACTTTCATTGTTTTGCCATCTATTATTATTGAATAAACACATTTAAAAACTATACATTTCCTTCCTGGCTAATATTCAGATGTATTCAAACGATTGCTATCATTTCTAAGGCTTTTGAAAGCAGGTTTTCATTGAATTTTGTAAATTAGTGAATAATCAACCGTGACCATGGGTGTTTCTTTTATTTTCATTTTTATCATAAACTTAATGTAATCTGGCTGCGTAGTATATAATTTTGCTTCTGTCGGAAATCATTGTTCAATCCATTTCGAAATATTTGAAGTGACGCAGACTTTAAACAAAACAATAGCTATAGAAATGTTTCGAGTCAGGCAAGTCATTGTGATTCATACTTTTGGTCTTCAATTTGTTGAAGTTTCTCAACACACGTGTTCGTATGTTTTTTATATATAATTGACGTGTTGAAAATTTTGTGGAAAATACCTTCACATATTGTATTAAGAAACAAGAACAAATGAAATTCCAGAAGTAGAATATTGTATTATTTAAAAAGAGATCCAATTGCAACCTACAATTTGTAGATATTGAACATCTTTGCTAAGCAAACTTGTGTTATCTTGAATTTTACGAAGAAAAGATGTTTCAACTTAAAATGTTTACTTTGTTATTTATTGGCTTGGCAATTTTTCAGGTAAAACATTCATTCAAAGTGTCCTTGTAAAAAAGTCTGAATTCATTCTCAGCAAAAACTGTTAAAAAAAATCGGATCGTTTTTATCATAGTTCGCTGGAAATGTGAATGCAGCTGGGTCTTCTGGTTCTAATTACCATTCAGCCGCGTCTACTAGTTCCAATTACCATTCAGCCGCATCTACTGATTCTAACTACAATTCTGCAGAGTCCAGCTACCACGGATCAGAGTCCACTGTTTCTGATTACCATGCATCCGAGTCTGTTGGTTCCAATTACCCTGAGGACTCATCAACATATGGTACCTGTCAATCATTTGATAATGACGAAAAATCAACAGCTGATAGTAAACCATCTACTTTGAGTGTACGAAGTGAATCAGTACAAAAGCCATCTACTTCAAGTGAAAGTTCCTCTTCAGAAGCATCCACAGCAAATAATTACGCTAAAGCCAAGCCACGGCCAGCACGTCAACCGAAGAAATCACACAGTAAAGGTGGCAAAAAATAGTGAGAACACACAGCTCACTTACGATAAATGAAATCAATCAATTCAGCAAATGATGAATTCAACGACATTTTATTTAATTCAATTCACATAAATTTTCATTTACCAAGAAGAATCATTTTTGTAAACCAAATCAAATTGAATAAATGTCTCTTTTCGCAAAGTCATTCAAAAATGCTGGCTTTGCAATGAAAATTGCTCTGTCGTTATGATTTTACACACGTGTATGTGCCGAATAATTTAGTTTGCAATCCAAAACTTTGTTGTAGGCGCCCTCCAAAAGAAATTTATTAGACTTGTCATTGTGTTTTTATAATCGACACGTGTAACATTTTGCGTTTGTTGAAAAATAAAATGAAATTCCAGTTTTGCAATGTTATTTTTGCCAACTATTTATACTATGAAAAACAGTTTTGTTGGCGTGAAGAATATTGTATTTAAAAGAGATAACATCAAAACTCTATTTATAAGTAGCTCTTGAAGTCTTGCTAAGCAGACTTGTGTTATCTAGAAAAGATGTTTCAACTTAAAATTTTTACTTTGTTATTTATTGGCCTGGCTATTTTTCTGGTAAATTTCATTCATTGAGATTTTTTTCCATATTTTTATGTAAAAGAATTGGATCAATATTTCGCCGCAACGATAAGAGTAAACATTTATTTCGTAATATTTTAATTGAATTGATTTGATCATAGTTCGCTGGAAATGTAAATGCAGCTGAGTCTATAGGTTCCAATAACTCTCACTTATCATCACATGGCAGCAATCAACCTATTGATCAAGAAGAATCAACAGTAGATGGACCAGGAAACTCAAATGTGACACATGAAACAGTAGAAAAGTCACCCGCTTCAAGCGGATCTTCACAAAAACCATCAAATAGTCGCGGTAAAGCTGTTGACCACGGTAAAGCCAAGTCAAAGCCAGGGCCGTCACATAAAAAAAGCGGCAAAAAATAGAGCGAATACATACATCTACTTCATAGATTACATAGTACATCAGTTTTTCTGAAATTTGGATGCTTTATTTTCTATGAACCAGCAATAAAATAAAATTCATTTTCAATCTCGCAATTTCATTTTAATTCGAGTTTCATTTTAACTTTGACTAGATGATTTTAAGCTATCGTGATCTGAGAAAATGAATCGATTGAGTAAATATTGATTCAGTTTAACTTTTTGATGTCTATTCTAATAAGAAAAACAGATTGTAATCAAAAAATATTGTTTTTATGGTTCAAATATTCTCCCGTATAACACCGTTAAGAGAAAAACAACAAAACAAAACGATCTGTAAATAAACATCAATAGTCTCAGCATAATGTATTCATTTTAAACAAAGGAGAGGGTCAGAAAGCTTCAGTATGCCCGAAATTTTTTGTATTTCCTCTATCAAATTGCTTTTATCAATCGAAAGATGACGACTTCAAAAATCGAAATCATGAATTTTCTCTTCGGTGGATTTGAATTGGGACCAGAATGCGTCCGCTCTTATTTGGAAGACAAAAGTTGATACCATCATCAAGCCATCAGTTTTAGTGAATTTCTTGCCTTTTTAACAGTTCAAATACGTAAAAAGCTTTTCAATCTACGGACAATAAACGCTTTCATTGTTTGTTTCCACTGAATAAATTCCATCTCAGTATAAGTAGGGCACTGTGAATCGGAGTGCGTCAATGCCTCAAAAATATTTCATTATAAAAACGTGCCTGAAGTAAATGTAATAAGAAAATTATTTCACCACCGAAAATATTTTTTAATTTGAAGTATTTTTTTCGTTTCTGAAGTTGCAACAAAGAGAAATGATTGGTTTTTCTCTGATAATTTGTTCGATTATTTGCGTCAGTTAAATTATTCATGACTAAAACATGTTTTGTTTTGGTGTTTTGAAACCATAATTTTATAAGAAAAATGAATTTTATGATAAGAATTTTTTTTATAAAGAGGTATTCGAACATTCCACAATGATGTCTAACAATTCAATTGTTTTCTGTGAATTGCCTTTCACGATTTTTGTGTATATAAAGGGTTCGATGCAATGATAGGTTTAAGTAAGCATTCAACAGTTTTTAAGCAAACTCTGAAATTCTTAAACAAAATGTTCGACCGCAAAATAGTCGCTTTGTTCTTGGTGGGATTTGCCATTTGTCAGGTGGATCAAAGTTGAATTAATTTTTTTATGAAAAAAAAAAAGCGTTTGATTCAATTTGTTTTTCGATAGATTTCCATAAGTCATTATTAATGATTGTTTCCATTTTCGCAGATCATTGATGCTGGATCCATCGAAAGCTTATGTGGTGATGGAAAACGAGAGGAAAATATTCCAAATATTATATCACCATTATCTTCAGATTCGCCAAGCTCTCCATTGTTAAATGACAATGATATACCCGATGTAGAATCATTCGAAGTAGCACAAACACCAGTTCCAGCTCCAGCTCCAGCTTCACCAAAGGCCAAATCTCCAAAAGCCAAGTCTCCAAAGGTCAAATCTCCAAAGGGTTCACCAAAGAAAGGAAAGGTGAAGGGTCTAGTTGCTGAATTTGAAGCTAAGAACAGTCCACCAAAACTTGCCAAAGCACCAAGCAAAAAAGGTGGCAAGAAATAAATTGGCTACACGAGCTAGAACCAATCCAGCTTCATACAGCTGAAGCCAAAAAAATTGTCATTTATGCTGAAAATCTTAACAATCTTTCAAAAGTTATTACTTTCTCGAGTAAATGGCATTCATTCGGTGAACACAGTGAATATCAATAAATTTGATTTTTGCAAACTATTCTTCTGGATTTTTATTTCGTCTCCGTTATTGGTATCTTCTCTCTTCTTCTCAAGACGATCAGTTTCATTGCTTTATTTGTCTTTGCTCTTTACTATTTTAGAAATCAACAACTTGAAAAAAACCTTGAACGTATACGTTTGTTATATTTTCCCATTAATTTTCGAGCAAATGTTAACAATACTTGCTATAACTTATAAAATAGACAATTTCAATACATGTATTTAGTACGCATTCAGTAAGCACGAAATACACTTTACACGAATTAAGCAAGCCTTGAAACATCTGAACAGAACTTATTTGTTCTCATTTTGAAATTTACGCCAGAAAAAAGATGATCGATCGAAGATTGTTTTATTTGTTGTTGATTGGATTAGTCAATATACAAGTGAGTTTATTGAGTTCGAATTCATTTTACATATTTGAATTCATTTTTAAATTCGAATTCAAACAACCAATCTTCTCTAGTATTTTGCAAGTATTGAAGCATGTGGATATTGTGGATGTAGACAATTGAAGCAGGAATCACTGGTATCTTCACCAGTTTCATCTCCTGAATCATCGTCCAGAGGTTCTTGGGTGCCACTGATGTCACTGATTTATGATTCAGATGAAGAATCGGTTACATCATACACAAAAGCACCAATAACAATGGATGGAAATGAAATCTCAGTGTCGGCAGTCAAAGCACCTTCTACATCATCCAAGAAGGATGAAAAATCATAAATTCACTATGCCAAATTCGATTTATGGATAACTTTCTCAGCAAAATTTTAAAAATAGTTGAAAAATATCATATTCTAATACATTTCCTTCTAATCGATGACGAAATGCTCTTAAGTTGTTAGTCGTCATTTCTGTTTCACTTCAAATGTGTTCCTAGGTCATTGGGTGTTACTATGTGTTAGACACATGTGTAATATTTTCATCGATGACTAGCAACAAGATGTAATTCCCAATGGGTCGAAATTTCACATTTGAAATTGAATTCAGTTTAGGTATATGTATGTTCAATGATTGGAATCAATCTGAATAAAGTAATTAATAAATCGGGTACTTTTAATTGTGTTTTCCAATTACCAAAAATCTGTTTAGCTTTCAACATCTCGCAGCAACGTTTCTAAATGTCAACTTCGAGAAAAAAGAGATGAGAGAACAAAGCATTCGAAGTTTAAAATCCGAATGTTTTTTAGGTTCTTAATAATCTTCAATCATTTTTTTTCTTCAATTTTTTTTTCTAGAAGATAGATGGCTCCGTCATTAGGGATCTTTATCAGGTATAATTAGCTATAATGAGGTGGCCTTTAGCAGGTTCGGTATCTATGTTCATTTGGGGCAATATTTACGCTTTTCAAACAGTAACACGATTATGAGTGACGGTAATGACACTCATGTCAAAAGTGTTATTAAGTATCTCAAGTGTAATCATTGCAGCTCATTAGCTCCTTTTCATTATTTATAAAAGGATACATCAGTGTGAAAAATCAGTTCAATTTTTGCGATCAAGAGAGAAAGACCTTGTGAATTTAAAAAAAAAAAGAGTAAAAGTCAGTGATTTAATACGAAAATGAGAGTGAGATCAACAAAACGCCGACGAATTGAAGGTGATACCGAAAAAATGAAGCTGGTAGCCGGGAGAAATGACATGGCATCAAAGTTTTTGCGAAATTTATACTTGAATGAGACCACAGCCGATGTCTATTTTGTGTGTGGGGATGAAAAGAAACGTATTCCAGCACATAAGAACATTTTAGGGAATGCAAGCAGTGTATTTTACAAAATGTTTTATGGAAATTCGGCCGAAAAGTGTGACGATGTTGTCAAATTACCAAAAACGTCGCCCGGGGCGTTCGAAGATTTTTTGCAACTATTTTACACGGACGAATTAGATTTTCATAAAGCAAACATCACCGAAATTATCAATCTGGCGAAAAAATATGGCATGCCAATGTCACGGATACTTTACGAATTAAACTTTGTCCCAGAGCGAGATTCAACGAAGCACATTTTAAATGCACTCAACGACGATTGTATTCAAGTAATTTTTCGTAAATTATCAAATGTTCGAAACTATTTGAATGTGGCCAAAGTATGCACCAGGTTTCGGGATAATGTAATTTCAGCCTATCCGCCAGAGTTTAAAAAGCGAATCGACATTCGAAATAGAGAACTTCTACCGACTGAAATAAATGAATTCGATGCAATAAGTTTTATGAGCATTTTTGGCACCATCGAACATTACTAATTTCAACTTACATTCACAACTAGTAAAACTGACGTTGATGCAAGGATGTAATTTCGATTTTATGAGAAACTATCCAAGGTTGGTGGATGTTTGTTTCGATGCTATGCGCATGCATGCAAATCAATTTGGTGAATTTTTGTTGTTGAATCCACAGCTTAGATTATTGGGCGTCCGTACAAATACACCATCGATTTTGGAACATATTGGAAATTATGGGCAAAATATTCTGAGTTTGACATTCACGTCAAACGGCTACCGCGGCTCAGAAGAACTAATGCATCTTGGCAAATTGAGATATTTGAGAGCATTAAAGATTCGAAATTGTCATATAGAAACATCTTTTACAAACCGATTATTCGATTTATTCGCTGAAAATAGTGTGCCCATTGAGATATTGGACATTAGTTCGAGTGTGTTTGGTGATAAACATTTTTTGGAAAAATTGAAATCTCTAAAACGTTTGATTGTCAAAAATATCCCCGAAAAAACACTAATCAAGGTCGTGGAACATCTTCCGAAACTTGAAGAATTCAGAGTCCATGAGACGCAAATTTCAATTAATGGAATAAGAAAAATTCTAGAAGTCGGCAAATGTTTAACTACATTTGAACAGTTAAACGATGAGGTCGGCGAGATAATTAGCTTAAAAGATTATCAAATGATTTTGGCACAAGCCAAACATCGTGTTAAAGTTATTATTTCATACAACAGTGGCAAAATTAGCAAAACTATCTTGAATGCGAATTGTAAATGGTTGAGAATGAAGTGAATTCATAGATGTAAGAGCGAAATCTTCGAAACTTCGATTCGCAATGCAAAATATGCTTTTTTGTCAATCCTGTGTAGATTAAATATTGTAATTTTTTTTTATTAAATGTCTAAAGTCAATTTGTAATGTCGTCATAATGTAAAAATGAAATATTTTTAATTGAATAAAACTTTTTGAATTTTTTTTTTACCACATTAATGTTATTTTTCATTATTTATTTTTTTGCCTTGTCATTGTCTTATAATTTGCGCACGACCTAAATCGAGTAATTTTACTTTCTGCTAATACAGAATTCATACACCGAAATTCATACAACAGGTATTTTGAAATAATTTCTTCAATTTGAATGGAAATTTGCGATTATTTGTAATATTGCGAACTTCTCGAAAAACTGAATATAAAGTCCTTCTAATGAGAGTTTTTGTATTTAAAGTTTAACAGGTGAACAAACAACTGGACGGTTTCTTAGAAAAATGTTCAAACACAAAATTTTGACTTTATTTTTCATTGGCTTTGCCAATTTTCAGGTAAGCTCAATAAATTTCAATAGTCATAACAAATTTTAGCATTTTCTATCACACATCCAACGTTTTAAATGAAATTCGGTATTAATGTATTGGTATCGTTTTCTATTCTCTATTTTAAAGCGAATTCAATTATTTTCTTCCTCAGCTCTTTGTTCAGGCTGGAAATGGTGATTCGAAACCATCGGATGTATGGATACCGACCCCAATTGAATCTCCAGTATCATCACCGGAACCATCACCTAAAGAAACTTGGGTTCCATTAATGTCCCTGATATCTGATGAATCAAGTTCAGATGAAGAATCAGTTCCATCCTCATCGAAAGCTACAACATCAGTGGTAAAAAAACCAAAAGATCCTGCTACAATGAAAGACCTTTTAAAAAAGTCAAAAGTCAAGTCCATGGAAAAATCAAATTCGAGTAAAGCCGAAGAAAAAACTGATACTAAGACAAAGACATCGACGAAAAAATCCAAAAATGGTCAAAAATAAAATTCGACGCAATGAATTTAGAGCCAGTACATTTATAACTTGCAATAATTACCGACGAATCTCTTTGACTGAAAATTGATTAAACTCATTTTTCAAAATAATTTCTGTTGTAAAAGGTTTCTGAACATATTCAAAATAAAATTAGTTTTCAATCCACTTGGATTTTTGAATTCAAATCTATCACTTTTTTCTGCAATTTTTTTTCTAGAAGAGTCTTCGTCATTTGTCACTTTTTGCATTAACGTTACCGCTTCAGTAATGAAAAATTATATTAAAATTGCAGATGATCTGAAATTCATTGTAAATTATTCCGAATTTTTAATGTTTTGGCATAGAAAATACCCATTTAATGGTGATATATAAAGAAAGGTCATTCGAATTTTCTGAATAAGAATTCAAACGACGCTTTTATAATTTAGTCAAAAATTAGTGTTACTCAGGCAAATAAAAAAATGGTGAAACGAACATTTCTGTCGTTGCTTTTGGTTGGATTTCTGATTTCTGAGGTAAGTTTCTCACATTCACTTTAAAATTTCGTGTTGATTTGATTGTATCGATTGAGTCCATAACCGATTGTTTGTTCTACTTCACAGCTTTTTGTTGCGAATGTCAGTGCAAAGGAGAAAGGAAAAAAGAAAAAAAAATCTATTTTCGATTTGTGTTCACGTGGTGGTAAAAATGAAAAAGTATCGAAGGATGAATTAGATTTATATACACCGTTTCCTTCCGAACCCCCACCAATGTATGACGCCCCATTGCCAATTCTTGAGGCAAATGCCAAAAGCTACGATCCTTATTCGCACGAAATCAACGCCCATCATCCAAATTCAGTGAAAACTTCTGTTTCGAAGGCATTTTCTTCTGCTTCTAGTCATACTGATTGTGCATTGCCGCACATCCCAAACGAATCATCGCATTTCTTAAAAGGTATGGTGCAAGAAGTTGGAGATCGCTTAAATAGCAATAGAATGTCAGAGCCACGCGCACAGGCACCACCAATGGTTCACCAAACACATTCAAACGATGCATCAACGGAACACCAAGCAATTTCGTATTCCGATAGGCATCAAGACTCTCATCATAATTTGGCACATAGTTATGCAACTGAAAATTATGAACATCGCGACAATTCACTGTCTTATCATAACAACGATGGGTCTTATGCAGATCATGAATCTTCTACTATCGTCGGAGGAAGAGATGCGCCATATCAATCACATTCAATTGGACATCAACCATCGGCAAATTCGGACCACCATTATGTAAACCAGGATCCGGAACAAGGAGTCTATTCACATCAACGACAATCGTATGAAGATCCTCAAGCCCACTATGAAGATCTCTCGAATTCTCGTCCATATGAAGTAAATGACAGAGTCCAGGAATATGAAGACTACTCAAATCATCCTTCACACGCACCACCGCCGCCACCAATGCATAAATTGAACAAATTTTCGCATCAAAAAGCATCTTCAACCCCATTTGAAAATGTTCACCATTCATCACATACATCGTCTTTTGCTTCGATCGAACCATCAAGTTTAGTAAGAGAAAGAGTTCAAGAAATTAATTATCGTCAAAATGTCCACGGATCACCAGCACCAATGCCAAATCCACAATCAGTACATTCACCACGTTCAAATTATATGCACGAGACAGATCAAGATTTGGAGTATGGCCAAGAATATTCAACACATGGCCATGAGCACAGTTCAAACTATCATCATGTATCTCAATCGCATTTACCTACCAAATCAGTTGACGAGGTTCCATTGACTTTGGTGCAAGGAAGAGTGCAACAACATGAACGATTCATAAATGAACAGAAACCGCAAATGCCGGCACTTAAACCAGTGGTAAAACAAGAGCATATTCCGGAATACCGCAACCCAGAACCAGAAAAACTTAGTTTTAAACAGAAGCTTGAACTTTTTGAAAATAAATCGAAACCCACCCAATATAACTGAGTTGCACAGAGAGCGCAGTTCACACAGCTCATGCTTGAATGAATGATTTATATTTTGAGCCAATAAATTATTAAAGATTTCCAGAGATCTGCAATGACTTGATCTATAAACGCAATAAAATATTGATTATTTTCGCATTTTGAAGAGTCTTTTTTATTTGATTTTTTTTTGGAAACTAAATTATGAAGTTGGACATTTTCTGACCGAAGACAGAGACAAAGCAGAGTCAAATTTTCTGACAAAGCAGAGTGTGTTAGTCAGCACTATTGCATAGCATCGACTGAAAATTCAAGTAGCTGAGTGTGCATTTTATGTGGTCATGTGATATTGCTAGCAGAAGAGTATATTGTGTAGATTCATAACCAGAAATTCTTTGTTGTTATTTTTTGTCACCATGTTTTCATGCAGCTCATTGACGTCATTTGAATATTTTGCCGAATAAAATTCATAATTCTCAAAGAAGTGATCTAAATTTAAAAGTTAAAAGATTAAAAGTTAAGATTATTCGAAAAATAGGTTTTGAAGTAGATTCGCATCATCAATCCAAAAGTTTTTGTATAAATTATCTCTTGTTTTGAAGTGGAATATAAGATACCTCCCTTGCCATTTCTTCTCAGTAAATGTTCATTGATATTTGACTAAAATCAAATTCAGTTAAATTTCGGAGAAAAAAAATCCCACACAAAAGTCTAATTTTGAAAAAAGATGAATCAAAGATTTTTTGCATCGTTTTTGATCAATTTTCTTCAGCTTTTTATCTCCGATATCAATGCAAGTCTATGTTGCGGATGAAATCTCAAAGGCGAAGAGTTATCACCTTCAGATTTGTCTATGTTTACGCCACTGCCAACACCACAGTGTGCGTCGGCGAAAAATCAATGGAATATTCCAGACCAGAGCCAAATTTCTGATTCACATGTGTCGTCATTTGCATCCGTTCCATCTAACCGACGAACCGACTCAAGTTGTGATGGGGCATCATTGCCAAAATATGACTCATCTGGTCATTCATGGAAACTTCAACCTGTTGTTCGCCCAACCAAACCCGATGCCAGTTATATCTAGTAGAGACTTTCCGACATCACAACCAAATTCAGACCAAAAGATCACTCAGTATTCACGCACGGCAAGAGACAATGATCAAATCCATGGAGTCAATGAATATGATTAGTCGAGACGATCGGGTCAAGGTAATGGAGCGTCGTCTTATTCGCATTCAAACCAAAAATCAATTGGTGGTAAGTCTGTACCGTCTCTCTTCGGCCGGTATATCCACTTCAGCCGGTAGTTGGGCAGCCAAATCCCAGGCCTGTAATTTCAAGCAAAGATTTTCCGTCCACACAAAAAAATTCGAATCAAGTATCGAATGTAAAACACATCTTCCCATCCTATCAGTCGGATCAAACATCGACTCAATACTCAGGCTCGGCAAGAGGCAATGGAATTAACCACCAAACATATGGAGCCAATACAACCCTGACTTGCGTCATATGGGCTTCTGTGTTATTGTGCCGAACTCCGCTCAACGTGGCGCCATCTCTTTACACGAAGTTGAAGTAATAAAAGTTTTTGTGTATTTCTTAAGTTTGAGAGAAATCGCATATTCACATACATATTTAGTTGCGTTGAATTGTAATTTAATAACTGGTAATAAAAAATGTCAACGAAATCAAAGAGAAGAATTATAGAAGTCACAACAGTTATTATATACATATTTATGGTTTACTGCCGCCAATCTACGTCATATGAAACGCCTTTTTATTCGGTCTTCTCTTCATTACAAAAAAATTAAATAAAAATATACACACAGCGTAGAGCAATATTTCTTTCGACTTGAAATTTCGTAGCATTTAAAATTTGATTGCAAATTTCACTTAAAATTAATCGAGCACACTTAGCAATTTTTTTGATGAAAAAAATTTAATTTAATATGAAATCTCAAAACATAGCATCATACAAAATGACAATTTGTTTACATGCTCATCGTTGACAGCCGGTATATGCGATGACATAAACCAAAGTGAAATGCCCATGTATTTTTGCGAATAACATTGCTCTCATTGAATCACATGTTCAAAATTCTTAACGTTGATTCGTTCGCTTATGCGCACTGTGTATGTATGTAGAGACGCTCAATGTGAGCGATCAATATTGTTCAAATACATGTGCACTTCATTTCGGTTTTTGTCATTCTAATACTGTTCGTGTAGAAAAAAGTTCGTGTGAGTGACAACATTGATTGTTGTCATTCCACTGTTTTCTCTCTCTTTGTTTTTAGTTTATTTTATTTTATTCTATTGTATTTTAAATTCAATATCATTTTAAAAATTATTTATTACTTAAATGTTTTAAAAAAAAAAATGAACAATTTATTAAATTACAATTCAACGCAATTCAATGTGCGGTTTATCTCAAACTTGAGAAATACACAAAAAAATCTATTACTTAGACTTCGTGTAAAGAGATGGCGCCAGTAGTAGAGCTTTTGTCAAAAAGTCAAATGTAAGTAGGAGTTGAGCCAATAACCGTCACTCATCGGAACGATCAGGTCGAAATCAACCGTCGTCGTATCAAAAATCAAATGGCGGTTTGTCGTCTGTACCTAAGTGAGAATATCCACTTCAGCCCATTGTAGGGCAGCCAAATGCCAGGCCTGTTATTTCAAGCCGAAATTTTCCGTCCACACAAAAAAATTCAGATCGAAGGTCAACTCAATATTCTCATGCTTCAAGAGACAATGGATTCAATTCGGACAAAAACTAAAATTATTCAGTGAATTTGGCTAAAACCAATCAACCATCAGACGGAAGTCAAGTGCATGTGTCAAAATATCAACTGTCGAACTCGAATCAAGAGTCGAACGCACAACAAAGTTCAAAACAAAGACTGAAAGGTCATTGGCAAATTCAACCTGTAAAGTTCCAACCAAATCCCATAAAAATTACATCAAGCAAAGATTTTCCGTCGTCGGAATCAAAAGCGAAAAAATTCACATTCATTTAAAGCTTTGTCAGGTAAATTAAAACTCATTACTGACTACAATACAGACCAGCAGCTCAATTCAAATTTAAAACTATATGTCCATGAAGCAGGTAAAAGTTAGAGTTTATCTAAAAAAATAAATGAGTAAAAAGAGCAAAATCCTTCGAAGGTGTTATTGCCACAATCAGAGATAATCGTCACTGCAAACTATTTGAAACACCTGAGAAAAATATCTAAAAATCTGCATCTTTTTCCAATCTATTTTGTGTGAACTTTCTTTGTGTCTCGGCTTAATGAGGCTTAATTAGACTTAATTAGGTAAATGGCTTTGGAAAAGAAGTTCTTCGGGAAAAAACGACGCCCTCACTTCGTTATGTATACAAACTTTTGAATCATTCCGATAGTTTGGCTCAAGGAGGTAACATCACATATTAAAAAATAGCTTCGCTTATTCCATAAATTAGTTTTCAAGCCGATTTGAAGCCGAAAGTATTCATTTTTACATTTATCAGTGTCAATAAGCTAAAAAAAGATGACTGATCAAAACGATGACCGAAATTTAAAGCGAAAAGTGGTGGAAGACAACTTCAAAGAAAGGAAAAGAGTGAAACCAGAAGCGGCTACTGCATCAAATAAAATCGCCAAAATTACGGATTTAAATATTGATTGCCTCGAGCATATCTTCAAGCGTTTGGATATCGCGGACTTTTTATCTGTGGCTAACACTTGCAAGAGTTTGAAGCAAGCGCTTCACTTGGCATTTGTGAGCAAACATTCAAAAATGGAAGTTTGTTTTCTAAATGATCCTAATCATAAGCGTGTTAGACACACTGTTTCTGGGTACATTCACATTCCTCACATTTCGATTTGTTTGCAATTCATACGCTCTTTCGGCCACCTTATTTCGAATTTGTGTGTTTTCTATTCAGGACGTTGTTATTCTCAATTAGATGATTATATGGTCAAATATTGTGTGGATTCTTTGCAAAGAGCTCGTTTTTATCACGCCACACAGGGCATACTGGAAAATATAAAGAAGCCATTCTCCAAAATGGAATACCTTGAGTTTACTGGTTGTAAACTAAACAGCAGCTTGACCGATTTCAATCAGTGGTTCCCGCAGATACGGAACTTAAATCTACTTTGCAACATCATGAACAATCCGCGGTGTATTGAAAATCATTTGCCAAAATTGAAATGGTTGGAAGTTAATGTGAAAGCAATTAATTCAATAAACGAGATAGCACACAAAAATCCGCAACTATGCCACCTGGCCATAAGCGGGGACAAATTCAGTGTAACAAATATTCGAAACATAAATGAGTCTATACCGACCCTCGAAAGTCTGAAAATTCGATGCAATAAGCTTGATACTATTCCTAATGACGAAATGATTCACTTTGAAAATGTGATGAAACTCAATTTGGATATAGATTCGGTCACAAATAATGTCATTCCGATGATATTTTCCAAGTTGGGGACTCTTAAAATTAATGTGAACCACACTAAGAATTCGTCCAAAATGAGTGACGCACTTTTGAATTTAATTTTGCAAAATCGTTCAACTTTGAAACAAATTAATTGTGAAAAAATCACGTCGGACTTTTTTAATAAGTTTAAAGTCTGTGCAGCATTGGAATCATTGACAGATATTGATTTGGGCATTTATTACTCATTATCATTGGACGAAGCCATGGATTTTATACGTTTTTGTAAATCATTGAAAAAAGTTCGGTTTAAACTTCTTGATGAGTTGGAATATAACGATTTGGAAAAGCGAATCGAGACAAAGTGGAATACAGCGTTTTGTAGTATATCTTATTGTGTCACGTTAGAACGTTGATTTTAAAAAAAAAAACTTAATTTAATAGGAAAATAGGGCTCGACACATTTAACTCCGTAAATACTACGTAATTTTAAACAAAATTATTCACAAAAGTAAATAATAATATCATAAAAACACATTTCGTACTGTGAATTGAATTAAAGAACGACTCATTGGTTGAACAAATATTGAATCAGCAAATAAAATTGCGAAAAATCGAATTGAAATTACAACAACTGGAATAACTGGAAATCCAGATGTGAGTCGATGTACATAGCTCTATTGGCGCAATTGGTTAGCGCGCCGTACTTATAAGACAGTATGCGAAAGCAATGCG